TAATCCCATGCTCCATTGAACGTGATCACAAAACACCGCCGCTCCGTCCGCGCCGGCCGGTTCGCGCGCGGACGTTAACGCGTTTTGGCGGGACAAATGCCGCTTTTAAGACGAAATACGCAGATTTTCCGAGCGTTTACGTCAAACAGGAAGGCCCGCCAGATATTGGAAATGCAACTGACCCCATGAGGATTGCACAAAAACTGCGATGATTTATTTACGAACGACTTACACGTCCCAGAAAATGCCAAAGCGCTGGTAATTTGGAGACTAAGGCGAACGCTCTGCACCATATCAAGGCACAAAGCCCCAATTAGAGACCATATAAATCACAAATCGAACGTGCGGTTGTCGACGAGCAGTACAGGCCGAACGGGTTCTGATATTTGCATATTTATCACGATCAGTCGCAGAGAAGATTAGCTTTAATGGATGCAGTCCAACTAAATTGACCTTAGCGGAACATTTTTAACGGTGATCGAATAAGGACAGATTGTGGGTAAACTGAGGACAATGATGACGGTGGCACAATTTGTTGTTACTCGGCGTAATTGATGTCATGCAGGAAATAGACCGTAAACCTATTCACTGTCATGCCCAAGAACCAAAACGTTTTGGATCATAATGGGGTTCGATCTTGAGTGTTTGTTCATAAAAATATGGCATTGTTTAAACGTTTACAATAACTGCATCAATGTAATGTCAAACATTGTACAACTTCACGAGACTCAATGATTCTCCAAGTAACGAACTAACAACACACAATATCAAAACACTTTCAATGACATCAGCGGGGGGTGACAGCCGACCGGCAATGGCCCAGTGCTTTTCAATTGCTTAGAAAGAAAATTACGTCTACAAGACAATGCCACGGGTGTCTTCACCAAGCTCATTCATATAAAAAACATATTTCAAAATGCACCAATTCGTGACGATTCCGATAGTTCTGGAGCAGCCTTTGCCATGCCATGCCAGCCAATGCCATGCCTTTCATCCACGTCCCATAAAGACGCGTGTGAAGACACGCTCGGGTTGGGGAATTACCGAGATCTGGAGGAAATACACTGCTCGTAAATCGTGCTCTTACCGGGATATTGCAAATTGGTCTATTTTATGACGAATGATGGGCACAAAAGGTGCGTTCTTGCAAATTTGGGGCAAACGTTCTCACGCACACTTTACAGGTAGCATCTATGCAGCCGTGAGCCGATCAGAGTCTTTAACTGAAGCATCGTTATCGCTGGACAATTCTTTATAAATCATTATATGCTGAGCTAGTGCGATGATACGTGGCTTCAACTAGGTGAATTTCTTCATGCCATCTTTTGTGAGCGTTTTGTCAGGAGGATCAATTTTAACGTCAAAACCTACGATAATGAAAGGCATGACATGTACTGCATGATACAATTACGTACTTTGAAGCATATTTTACAATTGAGGCTTTCTTAGTTCCGAAAAGCCGATCCTCTTCAGCTGGAACCTTTCGTGACAATGTCCAAATTTTCACAGCTCATAAGAGCGTCATCTGCCGAGCCCAAGTCCTGCGAGAGGCTGCGGCGCGGCTGCCGGCCGGCTGTCACCTGCCGGTGGGCCCGGGGTCGCCGACAGACGCGTCCCGCGGTGCTCGTGTACAGTCGTGATGTGTCCCACAGATGGCGTAGTCACGGCGTGTCTCTCAGCTGGTGCACAATCCCACTGTCTTTGAGTTGATGAAGTCCCGACGTGCCCATAAGGTGTTACAGTCCCGGCGTGTCTTTCAGCTGGTGTACAGCCCGGCGTGTCTCTCAGCTGGTGTAATGTCCCCGCGTCTCTCAGCTGGTGTACAGTCTCGGCGTGTCTTCCAGCCGGCGTACAGTCCAGGCGTGTCTCAGTTGGTGCACAGTCCCAACATGTCTTTCAGCTCGTGTACAGCCCCGAAGTGCCTCTAAGCGGGTGCCTGATCCCGGGATGTACGACACCCAGGCGTTTACTCCGGGAATACCTCTGCTCCCACCCAAGAAAATGTTCCACATTTGAAGATATTAAAGCAAGAATCAGATATAATAAAAGAAGCTCACTTACAACTCTTGGCGTAATTTAAGTGGAAGAGACTGCTCCAGGCAACACAACTCTCTGCTAAGTAAAAGGCTCCTCAATACGTCATTGTTTGATTGGGCCATCGTACCTTGCACAACATTGATTGAGAACCAATCGACGACCGTTATATCTGGAAATCATGAGCACTAGATATGGACAACCCGCCAATTATATTTTTTCTTGGCCTTGCTCGCCACACGACCAATTGGAATGGCTGGATTCAAATGCCGTATTATGGAGCCATGGATGCCTGGGTGCCCTTGAAATAGTCTGCACGAAAAATCTGCACATCGCCGCGTGCGTGTAGCCCATAAACTAAATTAATGTAGGTCTTAAGACGGAGATTGCTGTGAACAGAACCGCACCAAATGATTTTGAAGATGGCTGTTCAGTTCAAACTGTGTTCAAAAATCATACAAATGTGGAACACTCCCATTAACATAGTATCTAACCAGCAACTATTGTAACATAACTTATCTAGTCATCTTTGTGCAGTCCCAGGATACCCCCACTCAAAAGTTGCCCAGTGAGCCATGACCAGGTCTGCGGCCCCATCAGTCGTCCAGTGAGCCATGACTAGGTCTGCGGGCCCCGTCAGTCGCCCAGTGAGCCATGACTAGGTCTGTGGGCCCCCGTCAGTCGCCCAGTGAGCCATGACCAGGTCCGCGGGTCCCGTCAGTCGCCCAGTGAGCCATGACCAGGTCCGCGGGCCCCGTCAGTCGCCAAGTAAGCCATGACCAGGTCTGCGGGCCCCACCAGCCGGCCAGTGAGCCATGACCAGGTCCGCGGGCCCCGTCAGTTGGCCAGAGGGTGAGGAGCGGCCGCGTGCGTCCGTCTGTGAGCGGAAGCCGGCGTCTGTCGGCGGTCCCGGGCCGCGCGCGTCGCGAGCGGCGCCTACCTGTCGTCGAGCTCTCGTCGCCGGCCGGACGCTGAGACGGACCGGCCACCGCGCCGCCCACTGAAACCGCACGGACACACGCGCTGCCAACGACCGCCGCCAGCCACACACACACCCAACGACAGCGTGGCACTCCTAGTCACCTCGGATCACAGTGGAGTCCAAACGTTTTGCACGGGTGCGACGCTGTGAAGCCCAGATGCGCGCGGAAATGTCGTGGTTTTGGACGGCTTTGAGTGATAACCATCCGTCATCCACACGGTTAGCTGGTTGTATTGCATTGCACAAGGTAATCCGACATCGCCATGACAGGCCGACCTTATTGCATCCACATGAATAAATCAGTTCACGACACTAACTACAGATAAGGCAATATGGTGTGCATCGTCTCTCAAAAGTTGATTAAGTACCTACAATGGTAGATAGACATCTAGAAGTTATATGACCATTCACAAATACGCAAACCAAGCATTCGCTATTCACCTGACGAACTCCAGCGAGCAGCCTCCACCAGCTGTTCATAACTCACCTGCTGCCGCCGTGGCGCCGCCGGCCACCATGGCGCTGACGGAGAGGTCCGGCTCGCCGTAGCTGCCCTCGTATTCGGCCACATAGCCGAGCGTGGCGTCCAGGCTGACGTCGCCGTCATCCTCCTCCTCAGGGTCCACCTTCTCCACCTTGACGCTGTCCGGCGGCGGCGGCGAGGCGGCCGCAGCGGCGACCGGCGGCGGCTGGTACGCCCGCCGCCGCCGGCGGTGGGGGCTCGGCTGAGGGCAGCGAGGCGGGGCCGCGGTGGCGGCGGCGGCGCCGGCGCCCGGTGGTTGGCCGGCGGCGGCGTGTCGGCGCGGCGGCCCGGCTCGGCCGGCGAGCCCGGCCGCGGCCCTCGCCGGCGCCGGGCTGCCGGGTGGGGCTCGGCGCCAGAGGTGCGCCGCCGCTTGCTGCCGGCGGCGGCCGTGGCGAGCGCGGCCGACTGGCCGCCGGCGCCCGGCCCTCGGTGGGCGGGGACGGCTGCCGACACAGGGCCCAGGTCACCGCCCGGCACCGCTCGGGTCACGCGGCCGGCGCGGCCGACGACGGACGCCGCACCTCACCCCGGCCGCCGCCGGTGGCAAGCACAGTGACCTTGCCTGACTCACCGCTGGCGGCAGGCCACCAACTTCCTCACAAGAAGGGCGTTTCAACGTGTCCAAAAGAAAGAGACGACAGGAGCAAGTCCATGTGTCGGAGCAAAAAGCTCAAATAAGCACATGGGAAAGTAGTGCAGACGAATGCTCCCACAGAACGAAAAACCATGTGTACTCCACATAGTGCTCGCAATTATTATCACGATCTTATTGTCAACACTTATCAGCAACGAAACGTGAAAACCCGTCGGACGCAATCACGTGACAGGAGTTAAGTCCCATCGTCGTTGTACGAGCCAGGGCATAATTTTGCGGGTACCGAGACATGATTATTTCCTCTACACAAGGAAACTTCGGGAAAACAACCGTCAGCTGGGGTTCGAAAGTTGTCGTGCAAAGATGTCACTTTACACATGCGAAGTTGGGGATATTTCCTCCACACAACTGTCAAGCCATGCCTATTCTGCACGTCCCTAATACAGTCCAATGTTGTTGGAGAGAATTTTCGAGCTTCAATGAATTCCACTCTACACAATGAAATTTTCAATACAACTGAAAAACTGATGCACATAACAGAACAAGGCTCCAATAAAAAACTCACATTCAAATGAAAAGCATTTGCATAACTTCCCTCACAAGACTTGACCACATAGTAGTCATATCACTGAGCAGGTATGAACAATTTGCTGAACCCCGCATCCCTGTTACGTAGCATCTCCGGTGCCTGTCATGGTTTGTCGTTCGCCATATCCCACCTTGTCGTCATCCCCACTGAGACCGCGGATCTGCAGCATCTCCGCCGTCTTGATGAAGCTGGCCAGCTGGCTCTGGGCCACGTTCACACTGCCCTTGTACATAAACTCGATGATGGCCAGCAGGTCGGCGGCCGACGTGTCCTTCAGGAAGAACACCATCTGCTGGCATGGGTTGTTCTGCAACAAGCCACCATGTTATAAGCGAAAATGTGGCCATGAGGCAAACAAGACCTGACATAACAATGTGCTCTACTGCTGTAAATCATGAGAACATCCAACCCACAAATGATGAAAGTGTTACTATGTTAACACTGTTGATATGTGAGAACTATGGATGAAATGCCAGCTGAGTGAGTAAAAAAGAAACAGGTTATGCATGGACACCCAGTTAGCAGACATTGTGTATCATGGTTCTTCAACTCCTGTTACGCTGCCATGTGTGACAAAAGTTGGTCTTTCTACATAGTTAAAGGCTGTCATTTTAATCCAAGGAAATGTGAGCCCATGAAGGACCATAAGTACAATCCCTGGCTAATGGTTGGCTCCAGTTCTTCACTTACTCTGAGGAGATCCCTGAAGTATGGACTGCATGCAGACAGCATCATTCTGTGTGCCCTGACTTTCTGGCCCTCACAGCACAGGGTGATGTCCACCAGCTCCTCATCTTGTCGGAGGTGGTCAAACAGAGAGGTGACACTGCTCTGGAACCCATCCCACTTGAGGCAGAACTTCTGACCATCCATTATCTGCAGAAAATCGAGCTGTGACAATCACTATGTCCTGCACAACCATGTGGCATAGTTGCCACACTGATGCCACTCATTATAATGTCAGCCATACAGTGGTCATAAACATTGGGATTCAAACCTTCGCCTTCTTTACATACCCTATGCTCAGATTCGTACCTATATTCCTTACATATGTACTGATAAAACATGTTTGCCTTTGTTCCATATTCCATACTGAGAGTGCTCTTTTGAATGCATGCCTACAATGTAATGAAAACTTATATTAAAGGTGACAATGGCCACCAATGAAAAATCCCCATATAACCACATCCCTAGACAAACAAACCCCAAATAAATACCAGTTATGGTACTTGTATCAAGTTACCTGGTATCACCCATGCACATACACATTTGACATTCCATACTTATGACCAAAAAGCATCAACCTTCCAAAGCCCTAACTTAAAAGGCAGCAGTGGTTTCATGAATCATTCAACATAACTCATGTTCACCACTAGGTGCATCTGGATCCACCACTGCCAGTTTAGTTTACATGAACCAGAACTTGCCTCAACGTGATTTGCCTAGATAGACTGCCATAATTGAATTTGGTCAAAACATTGGTAAGTTTAAATATAAAAACCATGTCTTTAAGCTGCCAATGATTCATCATGGTATGCTTCCCCAAAAACATAAATCCCTCAGGCTATGGTCTGAGTCCAAGTTGTGCCAATACCCACCATGTGACTCAAGTACTATAAATAGTTAAAAACTAATAATTCATTGCTAATTGCTCAACATTTGATAACTTAATATTGCACATCATTTTTAACCTGAACCTTGAATGGTTTGCATGAATGGCCTTGGGTCTATAAAACTTGCTTACTGAGAGCTTCTCATACTCTGGATTGCCACCCTTCATGGATATGATGATCCACTCCAAAGATAATTCATCCTCCAGCCTTTTTTTGCTAGACAACACTGCAGAGGTGTATAATATTCTACAACATTGTAACATGGCTAACCCAAGCAGGTTGATCCTCTGGCTGGTTGCCAGCTGGCCTTTCCATGCAGGTTTGTCTGAACAATGTGCCAACCATGTTTGTTTGAACAACGTACCCACCCAGTGTGTCTGAACAATGTGCCTACTGGGTCTGTCTGCACAATGATCACACCCAGTTTGTTGAGTTATGTGTCCACCACAGAATAAGAATCAGTGGTAATCCCTGTAACCCATGAAGCAGTCAAAATGCAGTCAGGTCCATTCCCCTGAGGTCCAAACTTCAAAAAACATAGCTGGCATAATTATATCAGATGCAAATCCACAATATTTCATGTAACTTTGTATATGACACTCAAATACAGGAAACACCTCAACACAATCTGATTCTGAATTGGTGCTTCTTTAATGGAATTTGTGAAAGCAGAAGAAAACAGGTACATGCCTTTCAATGTACATCTACAATTTGAAAACTGGGGTCACTAACAGTTGGTCATGCACACATGTAGCACTGGTAGACATAATGACATTGATGACCCATCAAAACATGAAACCGACTTAGAGTGCAGTCATCTTTGGTTTTCAGGCATCAATTATGTAGAATATTTTATTGACAGCACATTGTATATCTATTGTAGTCTGGTGAAAACCAACATCCTTTCCTACAATTTAACAAAATTCAACCTTCCACATAAAGATTTTCAACCCGCCCAGAATTTGTACTCTGCAACCATGAACACCCATAAACCCCATCCCGAGCCAATATGTTCAAATCCAATTTTCCACATGACAATACAAGTATCTTTAATGTCTACAGAGTGAAACTTCCAAAATGAAAACAAAATCTGGGAAAGGGCCCAAAAAAACAACCGTTCATGCCAACAACACGATCGATCATATATTTCATCGCTCATAGAGTAAAAAGCATGGGCAGGATCATTGGAAGCCACCACGCATGACATGCATGGAGCGAGCGTTTAAGGCACGAATTGTGGATCGCGCAGTTCTCATCTGTCACAGAACGACACAATCTGCCTGCCATGACACTTACTTAATATACCCGGTCTGAGTCAATATTCACGGACGCCCTCCAACGCCATCCGGCCACCAATTCCAACAAAGCTCTCAAAGCACTACATTTGTCTCACCAAATTTGCGTTGGTTTCGCCATTTTAAATCGGGCGTCACTAAACTACTGCCATACAGGCTAAAACTCCATCTAGCCATAGGATGCAATTGTCAGACAACGACCCATTTGCCTCATACTCCGGCACATATAAATCTAGGATATCATTCTTCGGGAGTCAGCAGTCAAAAGCAGCTTGATGTTGCATTGGTTGAATTTAATTTCCCAGTGATATCAATCTACGCCGCTCACATTACTTGGAATGCAGGCCAATCCAGTCATTTGAACACAAACTCATAATAAGTACAATACCTACGAATCAATTCGAGCCTCTCCTGCCCGATTCTCTTCATATATTTGTAGTCTAACACTCACTGCGCATTTGCGTTGTCTTAGAGAAGATGAAACACCGGAGTCATGTATTCATTCTCTTTGATCATCGGGCAAGAATTTCACCATCGCACCAAGGCCGTGGTGGGGTGGGTTATGCATGATTGGACCATTTAGGAAGTGGTGCGATTGAGGCCCCCTATCGTGGTCATCATGAGAGCAGATAATTCAATACCCATTGGTTTTGCAGTCGGCCAAGTTAATTAAGATCCAGGTCCTTCTTGTACGAACTACTTGAGTCTTTATCGTGTATACTGGAAAGCCATAACATCTGCACTTAAGACGAGCTGGTCATTGACAGGGAAAAGTGTGACATAATAGGATACGTAGCATCAAGGGCGAGGAGCCGGAGACAGTGGCGTCCCTCGCCCCCCCCCCCTAACCTGAATGCTGAGGGGAGGGGGGGGGGGGGGCGCCGCCCCATCTAACTTAACTCCAACAACTTGTGGAGGGGACAACACTACTTCGCCGTCTTCTATCCAGCCAAGTGCAAATTACGAAACCGCTTAACATATTTTCTTCAGACAAAGTTAATCGAAAGCCAGAATGCGGTTTCATCAGGCGCTCTGAAAATGGTGATATCAGGTCACCTTCTTTCCGTTCAAAAACCGCGTAAACCACTTTGGGGCGTTGCAACCAAGTCCAAACTCAGACACCGCAAAGCCGATCTGCCTGGAAACCTAACCAGAAGATAGAGCACATTGTATCAAGGGGCGCTGTAACGCTGGTGTGCTGCAGCGACTTACTTGCTTCGTAAGTGATCCTTGAGGTTGCGCGTATTTTTCTGTGCTCGCTATTCGGGGGCATGATTTATACCTTTTTGTCCCTTCGTAGTTGGTCTGTGTTGTTCACTATATCAGATAACTTAACTGCTATACTGCATAACGCGCATCTGCTGCTTCGTTTTGCAAGCACGTACTCACTAGAGTTGCGCGCCGTGGAACGTTCTGCAGCGCCCCCTTCCCAGAGACTGGAGGACGCCCGCCAACGCCCGCGGCCCCGCGGTGTATCTAGACTGACGCATGCTGCGTAGCGTCAGACGAGGGTCCGACCACGACCAGGGTCGCGACTCTGCGTAGCTTACACAACGCGAGCGAGTCGGACTATCTTGCGATCGAATATAGACAACCTCTTACATGCATTTTTAATTGTCAGTGAGAAGAAGAACGCTGATCACGAAGGTGAAGCGTTGCAACATACCGTTTCATCAGTCGTTTCGAAGCTGGTAACTTCAGGTCACGATCTTCACCTTCGATAACCGCATAAGCCACCTTGGGGCATTGTTGCCGAGTCTAAGCACGGAAACCGCTCAATAGATCGTTTAGAACCTTCACAGAAGAAAGAGCACATACCAGTTCAAGAGCCGCTCTAAGGCTGGTGGCTACAGGTCATCACGTTTATCTTCAAAACGCACATAAGTCGCTCTGGGGCACTGCAGCCAAGTCCTAACTCGACATCTACTCTAACCGATCTGCCTGAAAACCTTTACCAGAAGAAAGAGCACATACAATTTTGTCAGCCGTTCTGAAACTGGTGGCCTCTTGCCACCGCGTCTTTCTGAAACTGGTGGCTCCATGTCCTCGCCTTCACCTTAAAAAATCGCATAAATCACTTTGGGGGCAACCGCAGCCAATCCGGGGACGAACTGCGAAACAGATCGTTTTAGAGGGCTTTACGAAAAGAAAGAGCGCACATGGTTTTATGGACCTTATTTAAAACTAGTGACCGCAGGTCATAATATTCACCTTCGGATTCCATATAAGCCACCTTGTGGCATTGCAGCCAAGTCTAAACTGGGAAACCGCTGAACTCAACTGCCCGGAACCTTTACCAGAAATCTGAGCCCGCACTATTTTATCAGCTGTCCTGAAACTGGTGAAGTCAGTCACCATATTCACCTTTAAAACCACATACATCACTTTGTTAGACTAGCAGCTAAGTTCAAACATGGAACCGCTCGACGGATTTTTTTCGGAACCATTAACTAGAAAAGCATATACAACTGCATCAGCTGTTCTGAACCCAGCAACCTCAGGCCACTTCCTTCACCTTCAAAAACTGCGTAAGCCCCAGTGGGGCATTGTATCGAAGCTCAAACTCAGAAACCACTCATCCGATCTCCCCGAATCTTTGTCAGACGATAAGGCACATAAATTTACCAGCCGTTCCGAAACTACAAGTGGCTGACATAGATGCATGCAACTCAGCTCATCGCATTTCTATAAAATGGCTCATTTCCGAACGTATTCCGAATTCAATAAATTTGCTTTGACTATTGGGTGTTATGGAGGTTGCAGAACACTGCTTTATCGCAGTGTAAAATGTCAAGTAAAACACCTGAAGGCATTTTTCAAACATTTTGAAAAAAAACATTCACATGCATTTTCCCTCCCCTGGTAGGGGAGATCGATGCGACCTCCAAAAGGTCTTTGAGATACCTCCCCGGCAATTGGTAAAATCGAGTCCAAATTGTCAGCAACCTATGGGACATCCATTGCGCGTCTTTTGACATAAACAATGTGTCCCCGGCTTTCCTGACTTGGGGCAGCGGCGGTTTTTTAGGGACCATTGCACGGCGAACCATGGCCGGCGCGGCCGGCGGGTGGAGACAGACGATGCGGCGGAATGTGCGCGCAGGCCGACGTTGCTGTAGTATTGGGGCCATACATCATATATATATATATATATATATATATATATATATATATATATATATGTGGCTAAAACGCGTAAAAACATATGCATCACTGCACTCAGAATTGAGCAAAAAAAACGTCTAGTTAAGTTTTTTGTCGCTGCAAGGCATGATCTCTTACGTCGGGGTTGTAAAGCTAAGATCGTGACTTCCTATACATTTGACGTTTGACCCTGCATACCAGCATACATTTTTATCAAGCAACCACCAAAATTGTTATTAATCGCAAGATCTCGTTGAGATCAGTCCACTGGTGTTTTTTTCTAAGCTCTATCTCTCTCTTAGTTTGGAGATGGGAAAGGATCACATATTTCCTCCCATCAGGTCGCATAATGAAAAACGGCGAATACCGGATCAGGGTGAGGTTAACCTTTCGTGGAAGCCGCTGCTATGCCATTTTAATAACTGTGTCATGTGTGGCAGTGTATTCTGATCTAGAGGAACAAAAAAAACGTAGCTACTGACATTAAACGTATTACTCGAAAAGCCCGATATACGTGGCATACAGCTTTACCAAATGCCCGCGGGGCTCTTCCGGGTCAGATGTGCGGTTTGGCTTGGTTAAAAGCTGGGTCTCTATTCCAAACCGAGGAAGACTTGAATCCGTGGTAAATTGGCTTAGGCGTTAGTTTTCGTCAAATGTCCCATGACCAGGACTACCCTAACATCTGTACTTTTTTGTAAGGCTTTCATCCCAGTCACTGGAAACGTAACTGATTCCACGGATTCCGCTTTCATGTATTCCGTCCATAAAAATGGTCAGACCTTGTCAGCCGCAAAGCAGCAAATTGCCAATTGTATATTAGTGCACGCGGAGAGACAACGGCACATCTTAGCCTGCTAGCTCATGAAGAAAGGGATGTTCTATTCACTATTCAAATGCATTGGGTATGACGCAATGGTTTGATTCCCAAAGCGATGAGCTTCTATGGCCCACCTGTTAAGTGTCATCACATGGGGAGGCGGTTCTCACCTGGCTCGTTCCATGCCGCAAAACATGCTATTGTTGACGGCATTCTGCTAACATTGTTTAAGGACGGCCATGGCAGGGGAGGCGGGGGGGGGGGGGGGAGGGGCAGGTGTCCACCATCCCCATCACCTTCTCGGAAATATATAAAGAACTGTTTAAACCTTCTTTCTGAAATGATCAGCACATTCTCCTTCACTAGTTTCACACAGACTCCAAGTTTCAAGTCGTTGTCATAGTGACATAGGACAGTTTTATTCCAAGCATGTTGGAACAAAACGTGGATGAGATGAGAGCATTTCGAGGAAGCGTTATAATTAGGTGTTCCTTCCAACGGCACGATTGTGGTCATCACAAGTCACTTGCCCAACTTTATTTTGGGCTCTGGCCACTGGTAAAACTCACTCCAGAAAAGTAGTTTCTCATCTTTATCAAACTAATACCCAAAGGCATTGTCTCTACAGCATACGAGCGACTTCTTTCGTCAAATATAATCATCTGTCAATAATTTGACATAAAATGGAGGTCTGCATGAAAGCAAAAAGAACTTGGCACGATGCCGGATTTTGTCGATTCCATTTGTGCTCCACCTCATAACATCATTAGACATCTCCAAATGGCAATGATACACCGAGCATGTCCTATAATAATAATGAACCAAACGACTTCATGATCTAAAGGTATGATCTATTCACATTTTTGCTTTCATTTCCGCCTCAGACACTCCTCTGAACAGCATCATGCACTCGGTACGTTGATGCATGAAAGGTAAAACGGTGTCAACTGACCTATGTGGAACCTGAAATATCAAGGTTTTGTTCAGTTCAGTCTTGATACCATCATCGTCTAAATCCAGTCAAAAACGTACAAAACTGAAGGACAAAAATTCGTATCGTTTCAAGTAAACAACAGATGACCTAATGACCTATGCTGGCACGTGTCTGACACTCTCGATTGAGATCAATT